GAAAGCCAACGAAAGACGATCCCCGGCAAAACAGAAGTCCTAAAATAATAGACAGCAAAACGGAAGATTCTCGCCTTGGCAAATACATTTGAGCAGCAAATTTAATCAAAACCTTATTACGGCCATGGCAAAAGGGAAAAAGGCGAACAAATTATGACAGGAGCTGCTTATTTTATTTGGGAGGAACACCTCAATTTGTTGCCGCTGTCCGGTTTTCCGTGTTGAAACTTGACAAACGGTGAATACATTTTTGATAAAGGACACAATGCCACACAAATACATACACATAAGCACCAGAAGGATAAAAATTGTGCCAGAGACGAGCTGCTCTGGGGCTCTGTGCATAACTTGGGCCCAAAAAGTGAAATTTTCAAGACGACAAATTGCCTAGGATGGCATAGAATCAATGGTGGAGGAGTTGTATAAAAAAGAAAAGGGAATGCCCATCAATTTTGTAGTTGTCATTTATAAATTTGCTCAGCCTTTTGTTTTATGCATTGTCCTTTGCTATTTACGGTCGAAATATGCACGAGGAGAGGGGATAACTCCCTTTTGTGTGGGTGTAAGGACGCGAGTTTAATGTCCCAAGACTTGCAGCCACCCACAATCCATCCTTCGATTCCTGGCGCTGCTCCTTGCCGCCTTTGCTCCTGTTTATGTGCGCCACATAAAACTATCAATTTATTGCTGCAAAATCGTTGCGCGCTGTTTCCTTTGGCTGGCGCTTCCTGCACACTGACGCCCTCACACACACACACACAGATACATTGCATATATATGAACACAAAAAGGACACAAACACAGACTGCATCTGTGTGCAGCTTGCTCTCTTTTCGTGGGTTTTGTTATTATTGTTGGCAGCCTTTTAGGCGCCATACTGACGAGACAACAGGCGTTTGCAGCTCTCCTCCTTTTCCACTTGCATCCTTCTTTCATCTCTATATGTGTGTATGTGTGTGTGTGTGTGCTTCTGGATATATGTGTGTCTGTGTGGGAGCAAAAGGTTTTCTCACTACGCGAACTTTGTTACAAATTTTTGCGACTTATTTTTCGACACGAACTCTTCGCGAAGCTCAGTGCTCCTGCATTACGTATACGCCACGTATACGTCTGTCGTGCGACGACGAAAATAGCATCAGTTGGCACTTTTTGGCCAAAAAAAACCCCTCACTCCCCTGTAACCACATCAGCGAGTATATAGCCATCGCCATAGCTATAGATCCTTGGCTTGGCAACAGCCAAATCCTTTTTATGCTTTTGATTTTTTGACACCCGACTTGTTTGTTGTTCTTGTGGCTTGTTAGCCATCATTGTTGTTGCTGTTGCCGGGTGTCTTAGTGTCAACATGCGTTGATTCTCTTAAGCTTGGTAGTATGGCTCCTCAGCTAAAACTTTGGGTACAGTTGCCTCACGCGGTGCTGATTTGCATACCAAGATGCACTCGAACGTCATAAGAAGTTTCACAATTTCCATCGGGTATACGAATACTCCAAGTGGATATTGTTGACATGTGATTATATCTATCTGCTGTGTTGTTTTGCAGTCGTTGCAAGATTTGCGAGTATATCTTTTTTATCCTTTTATGTGCATGAGATAGAAATGGAGTGGTTGGAGTGCTGGAGTAGAACGTATGCAGTTCTAAGTTTACTTCATCGAATTTTCCTGACTAAAAGTAGGCAGAAAAGGATGAAACTAATAGCTTCAAAAACATGATTACTTAGTTGAAAATCCCAGTTAGTTTTCAATTATTTTAAATACTTTGTTCCCCAATTCCGGTTACCAGAAAACGATGATACTACTTTACTGAAAACCAAAGTCCATCTATAACGCCAAATGGAAATGTATCTGAAAACCCAATTGGTTGCAATTATTTAAAAGTTATTTCTGCACGAATATTTAACGTGACACAGTTATGCTGATGTTTGATTGTTTCTCGTTCAATAATATATAAACCGATTGGAATACAAACGAGACCAGCTTAATTTGGCCCGTCCATCAGAAAGTGTGCCATTCACCCTGTTCCAAGGCAGAACTTATTTCGATTTATTGCAACAGCGATAAGCACCACCAGTTGTAGAAATAGAAGCAGAAGCCCAACCAGAAGAAGGAGAAGAACCAGAACGAAAAAGCCAAACCCACACTCACTCCGGTTAGTTGCAATTCGAGCCACCCACCCGGATAGAGGAGATGGGAAAAACTAGCAAACAAGCGCAAAAATCAATTTAAAGTTCAATAGCCTCAGTAGCTAGCTAACCGACTGAGTGGGTGAAATGGCAATGGTGGGTGGTGGCAAGGGTAGAACTTGGCTGACTTGCTCCAAAAAAGAAAAAAAACTACCGAAATTTCCCTCGAACTTTACAACATTGCAACAATTTGCAAGTTATTTGTGTGTGAAATTAAGTTCAAAGTACAAAATGTGGGTTGCTGAAACAACAGCTTAACAACAGCCAGAGATCTGCTTCGGCTTCTGGTCCTTTCTTTGGCAATAAAACTAATGGGATTCTTGGTTCCGTGGCAACATTGCGTATGCGTAATGTATGCAGAGAATCTGCATAAAGCTGCGCACTTTGGTGCGATTCGCTGCCATTGCCACCCTCTTACCTCCCATTTGTGGAAAGTTAAAACGTGCCCAAGTGTCCATTGATGCAATTATGCGCGGCGACCAAACGAAGTTGATAAATGGCAATCGTGAGAAGCGCCTCCGGCAATGCGACATTGTCATCGCCGTTCACCATTTACCATTCACCATTAACTGAATCATCGCCATCATCTTCATCATCATAACCGTAACCAACGTGCCGCCGCAGTAGATGTGGCCGCTCTTCAAAATGCAAATGGCTCTTTGGCACGCCACGCAATTGGAGTCGAATCCTGGTGAGGCAACCATTCCGTCCTGCCCAAGGTAGACAACAAAACCAGGTGCCTAACGAAGCGAACTTTCAGACAGAAGTATAGAGAGAGAGAGTGGGAGTAGGAGACAGAGACATCAATTGATTCCCCGCTGACAACCGAACAACATTCTGGCGGAATGGGAGATGGGGAATCCCCTGGAATCCAACCAGCAGACAGACAAACAGTCGAGTGTCGAGTTTCTGCCACTGCTGATGCACCCAACATTTATGCTTTGTCAGGTGATTTTGCAATTTTAGCAACTGTAACTGCAACTGCACCATCAACTGGAAATGCAATGACAAACACCTGAAATGCAACTGACAGGTGCTGAGGGGCAGCCAACAGCTAGAAGTACTTATATTAGTTATGTTCGGGCAGACAGATCAACTTAATGAATGAAATGCACTTGCCTTGACGGCTAGAGAAGCGTGATCAAAAGAAATAAAATCATTTTTAAAGTGAGCTCAGAACAATTGGTAATTAAACACCTCATTGACTGATGGTTGAATGAATACACTTTTCTGAATTCTTTTTATACCTCTTAATCGTCATTTATAGGGGGGTCTTGCATTTTATGATGAGAATGTAACATGGAAAAGAAAGATGTTTGGAATATTAAAGATACTTAAAGAAAACTAAGACAAAATGGAATTAAATACAACTTTGTTGATAAGATATAGAGACATATTTTTGATATAGTTTTAGTCACCTTACCCACATGTTGATTAGCAAGTACTTCATAGTCGGGGGAATCTTTTATAGCATACTAAATTATTTATATTTGATTTATCGAAATAAATCAGCCTAATAAATAAAATGCAATTGCCCAGGTGGCATATTTAATTTGATTAGCAATTAAGCCCCTTCATGATTGATATAAATGTGTTTGCTTTGCTGTAGATAAAAAAATAAAATGAAAGTGAGAATGAGAAAAGTAAAAATAATTCAGTTTATTTGCCATTCCATCTGCAAAACGCTAGTGTTAATTATGAAATATTTAACTAAATTAAAGTCAAATAAAAAAAGAAATACAAATTTATGACAATTTATTATCTATTATACAAAACATTTTTGCTAGCATATAGAAAAAATGAATAGAAAACAAGTAACGCCTCTTCAACCACTCTCTGAGAGAAACAGATTTAGCCGTTGCCTTGCTAAAGTGAAGCCTCGAAACACCTACTAATTAAATAGCCCAAGGCTTGCCAACTGATTTTTATTTCCCGGATAACACAAATAAAATACAGAATTATTAAGTGGCAAAGCTGGTCGCGTGGCAAAAACCAGAACAGAACAATTTTTGGATGCAGCCAAAAATAGCAGAGGAAAGTTTTGCAAGAGCGGAAATGGCAATTGGGAAGGCTACGGGAGGGGAAAAGTGGATGGTGGTGTTGGTGGGAAAACCTATATGGACAACTTGAACAGCAGATCCCAATATACAAACATGCAACCAATACATACACACATGTGGCATCAAAACTAAACCGGAGGCGCCAACATGTCCTACAAGTGATTTATTTTTATGTATTTGTTGGTGGAAGGCAGCGCAAAAAACACACATACACGTATAGAAAAAAGAAATGGCAAACGAGAATGGAGAAAAGGCGAGTAGCACAAAGTGAAATGCCACAAAAAAAGTAAAGTTTGTATTTCAGTTTGGTTTTTTTTCTTGTTGTGGCGGCGGCGGCGTCGGTGCAGGCTGACTGGTTAGCCAAGCCAAGCCAAGCCTGGATTTTCCTGAGCCATTTTCCCATTTTCCGTCTTTCCCAACGAGTGGAATCAGCCGCAGAAAGTAGTAAAGTAGCGAACGTGAAACTATTTATAACAGCAAGAAAAAACCTGCTAAGCGGCCACACAAACAAATGCAATTGGAAAGAGGGGTTGGGAGGTCGGTTGGCTGCGGCCATATACCATAGCATACTTCTATGCGCAAGTTGCAACATTTAGACGCAAATCATGGCAGACATTAGCGTGTGCAAAAGTTTTTCACTGAACGATTTATGGGAAAAGTTTCGGGGCTTCTTACCTGAACCATTACCTTACCTTGCTTTACCTTACACATTTTGACTGACTGTCAACCGGTTTTTGTTTGCGCTTTCTACTTGCAGAGTGTCCCACCGCCATGGATGGCATGGAGCGTTTCGCCTGCCCAATACCCGACCGGCAGGGCAGATATCGTTGCATAGACGATCATGTGCTATGCGATGGCTTCATCGATTGTCCCGATGGCGAGGACGAGGACCGGAGATCCTGCATGTTCTACAAGACGGTAAGTTCAATGCGGCTCACATGCCGTATACTTAATGTCATTATTTTAATCGTAAATCTTGTTGTTTCTTTGCTTTTTGCAGACGAAGGCTCACTTGGATGTGTTAGCGGATGCGTTACTGCGCTGGGCGCGAGGGCGTTAAGCTCTAACCACCCACCAACCACTCACACACACAGAGTATAAACACAAACAAACACACTCTCTAAGACAGTAACACCCAAAAGAAACATACACCTAGAGAACTCACTTTAAACATTAATGACAAAAAATTAGTTTTAACGTGTCCCAAGTCAAGCAAAACCCTATTAAGTTTAAACATTACTCAAGAACAACCAACACTCAAACACACACACACACACACAGACAAGCCAACCACCCGCCTGTCCTTTGACATGAGATAGGATTCCCAAGAGAACTCCCAAGAGAAAAAAAACCCAAACCAATAAGCAGCTTGCTAAGAGCTGAATGGATTGCCAAGTAAGAGAACAGAAAGCTATGATTAAAAACAAAATGAGGCAGCAATTATGCTTAAAAAAAGGTATGATTATTATTACACTATTATTATTAAAAAATTAACTTAATGAAAGGCCAAGAACAAAGCGCAGTTATACATACTAAAAGAAAAACTAAATTATAATTCAACAAAAAGAAGAAAACGAAAACCAGACAAAATCGAAGCTGTTTTTTTTTTCATTTCAAATTTGTTTCGCAGGAACAGAGATAAAAATGATGAGGAAAAACAAAATTGGGCCTAACTATTTTTAGTATATATTAAACAAATATATTATAAATATATCTTACTATATGAAATATATATTTCGTGTACATTATTTAATTATACGTGTATTAAAGTTTAAATGTTAAATAAACAAAAAGAAATGAAATCAAAACGAAGCAAGCAAAAAATAAAAAAGCGATAAAAAACATGATGAGGCAGGCAGAAGCAGAGGCAGAAGCAGAAGCAGAGGCAGAGGCAGATGCAGAAAATGAATGAAATTATATATACATATACACAGAAAAAAAACCGACATTAAATATATATATATATATTAATAGTATACATATACCAATAACAAACAAATATACAATTGAAGGAAAATATTGCATTAGGTTTTATTGCTGATAACTGAACAAGCTAATGAGTGCAATATAATATACTTATATACAATGCAATAACAGCAAGATTAGCAACAAAAAAACAAAACAAACATTTACAACTTAGATGATGAAGCAAAACATTTACATAAAGAAAAAGACTTGACTTCATTAAACAAAAAGGAAACCCGTTTAGTTCGATAGTTGAGGCTTCAAAACGTTTTGAAACTTTTGGTTTAAAGTTCTCTCATTGTTAACAAACTACTTTTGCCATTACAAATGATTTGCTAAGTTATTTCTATTGCCTTCATGTGTGTAAATAATACTTTCAGTTAACATTTTTCATTTGCCTGTAAACATCTCTCCCAAACTCCACCAAAGATTTTGATTTTCATTATGATTTCGTTCATGAGTGACAACAGTTCTCACGGAAATGGCAGCTATCTGTAGTTAAGTAAATTTATTTACATAATTAACGTATATTTAAATAACAATGGACTTATAAATATACATAAAAAAAGAAAACGATGATAAGCTTTTAAGCGAAACGAAAAGCTTGTACAAAATGCTAACTTACACTAATCCATTCTCAACGTTTTATGCCAGCCACAATGGTTTTTATTCTTAATAATTTCCCCAACTTTTATTCACGCTGTTCTCTCAATTGGCAACGCTGAAAATTCAAACTTAAACCAATAATGTCCTGGCCAAAAAAAAAAAAAAAAGAAGAAGAAAATTATTCGCTTTTATTATGCCTGCAAAAGGGGCGACGAGTTCCCAACACAATCAATCAATTAAGAAATACAATCAAGCAAATTTTTAAGCCGAAATTTACGAATTAAAATTTTTAAACGGTTGTGTACGCAAACAAATAACAATGAAAATGGATAGATGAAAGCAAGAAAATAAATGGCAAATTAACAATAATAATGAGTACCCTCAAAAGCGATTTTCAAACACACTGCATTTCCTGCGTTTTCCTCTGAATTTCCCCCATTTAATTTCCGTTTTCCATTCAACCATATACATACGAAAAACCAAAAATATTTTAATCAATCGATTGCTGTTTCTTTACTTGATTTTTATGCCCAAATTATGCATGTTACTAAATCGATTTGTGTAAAAACCAAAATATGTTTAATTATTTAAACTTAAAAACGGAATAACATATGAAATTGCGAGCAATAAAATTTCATATCTTATACACAGTACGTATATAAAATCGCAAAGAAATTCTAGAAAATCTAATTGAGAATACGTTAACGAATAAGTTTTGATTTCTCATCGATCCCCCAAAAAAAAAACCTCCTGCCCTCCTATATCAACGATCTTCGTTATTAACCGAAAAGTATAAATAGGAGACAACAACAGAAACTTTGGTGTTTTCTTTTAATTGATTGATTCGGTAAAACATTTACATAAATAAACTGCAAAATAACCCACCTTTAAATATAAAGAAGAAGTAAAAAAGTAAAAAATTAAATTAATAATAACAATTTCTATACCATACGAAGAATACTAAACGCAAGACAACGTGTGTATAACTCTAAGTAAATGATAACTAACATAACGAATACGAATTCGAAATACGAATACGAATACTGTATGTATATGCAATTAAATGTAATCCTTGAAATTATGCACAAATTGAGAATCCAGACAACAACAACAACAACAAATGCGCACTAAACAACAACAACAACAACTACAAACAGAGGACAAACAAAAACAAAAACCCGAAGAAAGAAAGAAAAAACAAATCAAAGACGAACAAAAAACTTTTAATCACATTTTTTGAACGAACGACAATTGAAAGAAAGGTAAAGGTATAGAAAAAAGAGAAAACACACATACACACACACACACCCACACACAGACATACAAATAAACATATATTTTTGGCCTATTTTTCTATAATCCTAACAAAAACAAGAACGAAATTTTAAATGCAAAACGACAACTTCTATAAGGACAAACCCAAAAAAAGTAAAAGACCTAAAAGTTCGACTGTAAATAACAAAAGCGAAAAAGGAATCCCTTAAAAATGATTTTATAATTCCAATTGAACGAAATACTAACGAAGATCGTTTAATAATATTTCACTTACACTTTCCTCTATATTTTTGTTTTAATTTTCTTTACTTTCCAGCCTATTTAATATATATATAAATATATTTGATTTTCTTATTAAGCCTTTGCGTCGCGTACGCCCTCACAGCAAAAACAGTATTGTGTATAAAAAGAATTTGTAAATAAACATATTACGTCTAAATTAGTGAAGTGTATCTTTATTTCCTATTTTTAAATGTTTTATAATTGTAGAGTATTTAGTTTAAAGATTATTTTTTGACTAACACGATAAAAGAGAGATGGCAACTTAGCGAGGAAAAATCCAAAAAAGAGCAAATACAGAATATAAAGCTGAATAAAACAAAACAAAAAAACAAAAAAAAAACAATTGTTGAATGTTAAAGAAATACATAAACATATACACAAAAACAACCATAGGTACATACACACACATACAAATATAAACACACAGACACACACAAACACACACACATATATATATATAAGAATATATAGTCAGCCCCCTAAACTTGTATTTATTTGTATTTGTATATTTCCAGACGAGAAAGAGAAACAAAAACATAAAAACATAAAAAACCAAAACATCAAAGAGAAAGATGGAGAATATAATTAACTATGAGTAGCAAATGGCATTAGGAAAAATAAAGAAAAAAAAACAAATGCCATTCGCACAAATTATCGAATGAAAGAAAACATGGTCTATGAATTTTATTGATTTCGTCTTACCCAACTCTAATTAATTAGTATTTGCTGTAAATAATTTACCGCCTTCCTCTTTTCGATCTCGCTGTGTCTGTCTCTATCTTTCTCACACTAATTTCGATTGTGTAGGAGGTCTAGTTTTAGCATAATTCCCCCTCCCTTTTAATTTAACAACCGTTTTCTTAACTACTTATAATAATTAATTAATTATATTATACGAATATATGATAATGCAGAAAATGAAAAACAAAGAAAATACACAAAAAAACAAAGAAAAAATGAAAAACAAATACACAACTTAATATACACTGAAAACGAAACCCAAACATGCATTTCTTTTTTCTTTCACTTTCTTACTCTCACATTATTCCAGAATACTTCACTATATATACAAATATATATATATCTATATTATTTACTCTACACAAATACAACAACAACAACAACGACAAAAGACAACACAACAAGTAAGTTATACACACTCGCTGGCAATCAAATACCATATTTAAACTTTCCCACGGTTCTAAAACATAATCCACATATTTACCTTTTTGAGTTCGTAAATTAGCTCCAAGTGGTGGTAAAACTATGAACACTTTCCCAAGGGCTTTTCCCTTACCCAGTGAAGAACACCTGAATCCACAAACTTTTAGATTATCCCAGGAATCCTTGGATCCTTGGTAAGTTGCAACGAACGTACTTAGGCGTACTCTCTGCTCCTTTAGCCGCATATAGCTCTTCACTTGGCGGTCAGACAAACTTTTCAACAAGGTCTAGAAACTAGTTTTTACTTTTAAATTATTCCCCCCGCGTAAAATACACAAAAATAAGTCACAGCACAAATGTCAACTTTAATGAAGGCAAAATCCATGCATAATGTTTGCAAAAAATTAAAAACAATGCGATTTGAACATATTGGGATTAGAGTTTTTAAAATTGAAACTGACAAAGCCAAAGAGCGGTCATCGAATGGAAATCTTAAGAAACATATATTTAAATGATTAATATCCAAGTATAAAATATAAATGTTAGTAAACTAAGGTGTAGACCCGCAAGAGGTAATTATATAATATATTTGCTTTTGCTGAGCACAAAAGTGTTAGCCATCGCCCAAAGAAACAAAGAAAAAACAAAAAGTAAAGATTATTCAACAATTAAACTATATGTATTTGATGTAGATCCGTGTTTAGTATGATCTAAGATTGCACCTGAGAAGAAAAGTTGAAAAGTTTGTTAAAGGGGAAACTAAAGCCGGGGACAATTTATTGGAGGCATTGGAGGCTGCATGCAAAGCTGAAGCAACAAGGTTAACAATTAGTTAGAGCTAACAGACTTGGACCTAAAGTGACCTTCAATGGGCATCAGGTGTTGTAGCCATTGATTCCGTCCAGCTTTTTCTGGTCATGCCACAAAAAGCCGCACTCAATGCAAAAACAACCAGAGCCACTGATGCAATTCAATGCCACTTTTATTCCACTTTTCCACTCGCCAGTAAACATTTAACGCTGACCACTAAAAGCCAAAATAAAAAGTTGATAGAACTGTCTATTAAAAGCATTTCCAAAGTCAAAAGCAAAAAAAAAAAGAAAAAAGATTTATCAGCATGTTGCAAGGTTTTGTATGCAAATTGCCGAAAATAAATTGTTTGTTAAGGCAATTTGGCCAGAACAAGGAAATTTGAATGGAGAGTGAAGAGTGAAGAGCTTTATGGTATTTAACAGAATTTAAGAAATTTATAACCTTTTGGGCAGTTGAAGGGATTCGGTAGTTCAGGAAAAACATTTACTACTTTTTCTACTTCTTTCATTTTGTTCTAAACTTTAAATACCTCAACCAAATTGCCATCTAATTCATTTACAATTACTTTCAGCCAGGCATTTATTATTATTTCAACCTTAATTGAACCCATTAAGTATTCATGCAATTCATTAAAATTATA